TCCTGCCGGGTTTGAGACGCGGAAGGTGCTCGCAAACCATTCTTTCAGAAAACAAGAGTATGTATAAAATTGTCTCATGGAGCATAGAAATCAAAAATACTGACTAAACTAGCTTCTGTATGACTTTGACTACGAGTCTGATCGGATATCTCTTGTCCAATCGATACTTCTGATGACACACTGGTATGAAATGCCTGACGACCAGAAAGATACATGGCATTGGATGGGTGTTGGACTTTCTCTGGCTCATACCATCGGCCTCCACAGAGACCCGGCATCTTCAAACATGGATGCAAAACGGCAGAAGCTTTGGAAGAGAATATGGTGGAGCACATATACCCGTGATAGACTCATTGCGTTGGGCATGAGAAGGCCTACCAGAATTAAAGACGAAGACTGCGACATGCCCTTGTTGACGATTGATGACTTTGAAATCAGCCCCTGTTCTACCGAGGTCCTACAGGTTCTAGGGGACTGCGAACTGACACATAACGTCAAGCATCAACAGGACCTTGCTATGATGTTCATTGAGAAAACGAAATTATGTCTGTGTATCAGCCACGTCCTGTCGGCACAGTATTCCGTCCTTGGCCACAAATTTGGCGGCACAACTGAAACCACTATGATGCTAGTGCCGAAGAAGACTGCCACGGAAGCCTGCGAGGTCAGGGCATGTGACATTGAGCTTGAGAGTTGGAAATCCGGACAGCCGGATGTGACTGTGTATCGCCCTTCGACTTCGTGGAGTCTATCTCGTGGAGAGGAGGTGCTTCACCTCCACCGCGGCCTGCTTCAGATGATATATCTAACTACCCTGAGTGCTCTACACAGACCGCAGGTACTTCCACCTAACTCCACAACTACCATTGAAGCGGAACTGCAATCCTTTTCCCGAGCGAAAGTTAGACTTGCGGCGGTGGAAATCACCAAGGTTGCTCAGGAGCTGCACAGCCTGGATTTAACGCGCTACCTACCAACAAGCGGCGTTACCGTTCTCCTTCCAGCCGTCATCATACACTTGCTTGATATCAAGTCTAGTGACATTAACCTCCGATCTTCCAGCCTTGGACGGTTCTATCAATGCATGCAGATCCTGCAACGTCTGCGCGAAATCTACGCATCTGCCGATTTTGCAACCTCGTTCCTTGAAGCTGCTGTCCGCAAGGCAGGTGTTCACATCAACATTGAGCCGACAGAGCAGGAAAAACAACAAAAGAAAACCAAGCCGGCACAGCCAGTGAACACTCTTACTCCTCCACCGGACCCAAGTCCAGGGTGCTTCATTGATCCAGTCTTGTCCATGAAATCGGACCTGGGTAACCTCGAGCAACCAGTCGACACCACCACCCTCGGCATTGTTGTTGCAACTCCGCCAAATTCAGCAAGTAGCGAGAATGGAAGTCTACAAAATATAAACCACGATACAACTGTGGAAGATATACTAAACGCCAGCGCCGATACCTCAGAGCCCAGCCTAGCTGAATTCATGAACCTCGCGAACGAAGTGGATATTACTCAAAATGACCTTGACGCGTTGATCAACTTTGATGAAAACACTGCTACGGATTTCTTTACTATGGATGATGCCGTCAATGTTGATTTATCACTACCTGGCCTTGGAGATGATTTCATCAAGGGGGAGTTTGATGATAATGATAAAAAGTTAGAAGGATTCAAGGAAACTATGGGTCCGGATTTGGGTATTGATATAGAGGGCCAGGCATGGCTTAATGACCCTTAGATATAGAGGATATGACATGAGATTAATGTACATAGATGTCCTTAAAAATGTCCTTTGTTGATGTCCTTATCTCTCCTTTGTGCAGTGTTCTATTAGAATGGCGTAAAAGATAATAAAAGTGCATCTTATTACTATGGAGATTTACCTCCAGGATATTGGTAGGTGCTTAGACATCAAAGTAAGGATAGGAATGTTCCTTGGTTTGGGGCATTGGAACTGTCCTTAAACTACGATTGAGATAAAGAGGATTAGAAACAAATATTTTTGTATTTTTCATCCTTAGCTGTAAGAAAGACTAGGGGCATGAACAAACAATTTTGATGGCTTCTTTGGCAGAGGAAAAAATTCCAATGCCCTGAGCATAAAGTTGAGGATTGAAAAAAGGACAAAGCCATCAAACGGGACTTATGCCAAAGGGTAAAGAAGGAGGGGAAACAACTTATAGCTGTATGGATGTTGCTTATGCATCAGGGGAAGGTTTAACAAAGCTGAAGCAAAAGCTGTAGGTGATGGACTACCTACCGCGCAACTCCATGGCAGCGGCAGTGGAAACTTCCTCCAAGTTCTCATCAGAAAACTTCAGGTCTCTCATAATGTCAGTGGTGTCTTTGATCTTCATCCAGATGACTGGGGCGGCAACAATCAAAGAGCTAGCGAGGAGGACCCAGTTGGAAATAAACATGGCGCGGTAGCTAACAGCCTGACTATCAATTCTATAGACAAAGATGTTAGCGGTGGGTTAAAGCAGTATATAGGGAATTATATACATACCGCCATGCAATAGCTGCACCGGCAGATTGGATGCCTTTGTAAAAACCAGCGAAGTTGGCAAGTTTGCGGGAGTTGTTGGTCAAAGCACCCATGAACCTATTAAGGGGTGGAGGTGGTTAGTTATTAGATATGTAGAACGGGTGGGAAGGGAGAATAACGTACCAGTAAGCACAGGTCTGGAAGGCAGCATCGTAGAACCCGTAGAGCATGTAGAGGACCATTGGTGAGGCATAGTTGGGATCAGTCCAGTCCATACGGTTGGCCTCGGTAATATCATCGCGGTCGTATTCTCGCTGGAAAAACCATCCGTCACCCCAGATGGCCATGGTGATGAAAAGGAGGATGCCGAGGACGTAGCGGGCGCGGATTGAACGGCGAATGCGTTGGCCATCAAGGAAGTATCCAAAGACAAAGGCACCGATCATCTGAGAGATCCAGTAGAGAACATTGTTCAAGGCACGGGTGCGAATGTTGAACTTGGCAAGGTTGACGGCATTGAATTGGTAGGTAGTGAACCAGTTGCTGGCAAAGAACATGGGGAAGAAGGCAATGATGTACCAGTCAGGCTTGAGGACGGTGACAAGGCCGATGAGCTCAGATTTCCAAGATGGGTTCTTCATGAGGATGACGCGGGTGCCATCTGAACGCTTGATGTCTCTAGCATTGACGAGGGCAAAGCCAAGGAGGAAACCAGGACATAGGATCATGACAGATGTAGGTGCTATCCTGGACAGAGTTGACTTGCTGTGAAG